GGTTTTGCAAGTTACTGCTTCTCCATGTTTAATTAATTTAGGATAATGTTATAGTATTACTCCTATATCATTGTACTATTTTATGTGAAATAAAATACACGCCCCAGTGTTAATTCTTGTAGGAATTCAGGCTTTTTTCATGCACTGATTCCTTTAATTCAAAAAACCTCTTTGAATATTGAATAAAATCCAAGTTTTGAATAGGTAATAGCTGCATAACAATTGTATTGTTAGGTTTTAGTTTAGATTGGATTTTATGCCTTGATACTTTTCATTATTTTGTTTAGTTGGGATTTTCAACAAAAAATGAATCAATCCCCTTTACTGTAAGGGAATATCTGAATTAAGAATGAAAGTTTTCAGTAACTTTTATATCCCCAAATCTATTTCACAAAGGGATCATGAATTGTAATTGAAAACATTCACATTATATCCTTTTTTTTTCTCTTTTTGGGATCTGTGTATATGTGTAAACATTTGATGTTCTAGTACTTGAGTTGCTGAGCTTGCATTCCCATTTTTCTGTGTGCTGTGTTCCTGCAGTACCCCATGTATTGCGCACCCCCACCTTTGCCTCCTGTTTATTGCATGGAGACGGAGACCCCCACTGCAGAGGACATACAGCTACTGAAGAAAACGATGGAAACAGAGGCTGTACAGGTGACTTTAATTATATAAACCCAGTTGATCCAAAGCCTATTGGTAGCGCGTAGTTCCTGGTAGCTAGTGTTCCCTTAAGCAATCAAGCAGGCAAGCTAGTCATAAACAGTTGGCATATGGTTTCTCTGTGGAAAGGCAAAATGGGTGAAAAATAAATCCTTAATTCTCAAATGGCTTAGGAGATGTGTACAAGGATTTGTCAGCTACCACAGCTTAAAATAGAGGGACAGTGGTTTTCAAAACAACATGCTGGATGTATTTCTGACTAGTTAGTGCAGGTTTATAAACTAACCCACAGTTTCTGAGTTCCCAAAATAAACCCCCAAGTCACAAAACTTTTCCAGTTCATTCCTCTACCTGCACTCTTTTTAATGGTTTGTTTGTTTTACATGGCTTTTGGGAAACAAATACATAATTATTCTAGTAATTGTGAAATGAGGTTACAGTCACTTGGATGCACTTAGGACTAAATAAGTACCAATGCGTAACTGGAATACTGACTGCTTTGTAATTTAATTACATTTTGCATGAAAAGACAAAATCAACAGTTCAAGAGGAGGCATAAAGGAATCCATCCCATAGAATTTGGGATGGTTAAATTACATTCTAAACATTTCAACAAAAGTATTTGTCCTTCCTCGTGGTGATGCTCCTTGAATTATGTAGGTCCATGACACAACTCCAGTGTTGATACACTTCATGTCAGTCATAATTAGTCTTGGCTTTGGAATGGGCAGAGTTGAGGTATCCACTGTATTTCAGACTGGCAGGAGAGTATAACTTTTTACTCCTCTGCTCCTACCTTCTGTACTTCCTCTGTTTCCTTCTAATTTTGCCTCTTGCTTAGCACACTGGTAGCTATTTTTCTGCTATCTGAATTTGAAACACCAAATTTGAAAGCTCTTTGAAAGAGTTTGTATCATACATTCCCTGTCAAAAAATAGGTTTTAAAAATTGTGTGCCCACAGATTAAGTTGTGTAGTTTATTGATTAGTCAATTGACCATATCAAAGCATGAACATCAGCCACAATAAGTTACAATTAAATAAGATACAGTGACATGCAATAAAATAGATTACAGTAAGATAAACTTGCCCACAGTCCTCTGCTGTCTGAAGTAGAAGCAAACGGAAGTAGAATTCAAAAATAGCAATCTCTAATAATATGACTCAGAGGCAGAGTTCCCTTCGTTTCTTATGACATGTTTTGGAGCAGTGGTCCTATTTTGTAAAAGATACAACCCCACAATATGTGGTGGTATTTTAATTTCTGTATCAAGATACTCTGACTGGTATTTCTGCTTCTTAGTTTCCATGTTGCTGATTTGTAAACTAGAGTGTTGTCTAGCTTGTTTCTTTCGTGTTGAATTTCATTATCATTGTAGTAGTGTTTGTGTATATTGATCTATAATCATTGACTCAACTTACCTACTTCAGTTGTTAGCTTGCTACACACTTTGTTAATACTTAATTTGTGACTGTGGTAATTCTGTTGTTATCTTGCTTGTGTGACCTTGTACCTGATTATTATTACTTGAAGGCTAGTGCCTTAAAGGAAAATGAAATAGCTAAATATATTAGTTAGGGATTTAATTGGTGGCTTTCTAAAAATTGCCAGAGCATAGTTTCCCATCATCTTTGATAACTGTTGCCAAGGCTGGTAGGTTTGAAATCCAACATATGAAAAATCAGACTGTCCTGTCCTGCTTGCTTAGTAATTTCTATATTGATTTTTATTTTAAAAGTTGTAGAATTTAGTAGCATCATAAATTTAGTGGCATCTCTCTATGTCATCGTTTGAAAACAGAGATTGGCTACAGAGCAAATAGGTATTTTATGGATTTGGGAGATGGCCCTAATTAAACCCAAATAGGCCATGATTTAATAAACTATATATAATATCCAAGTGAAGAGAGCAAGTTAGCTCATGGGAGAAATTTGCAGATCCTAAAAACTAACATTAATCTGTTATGTATTTGCATTTAGATGTTGAAAGATCTGAAGAAGGAGAAGGTTTTGCTGCGTCGGAAATCAGAGCTTCCTCAGGATGTCTACACCATAAAGGCTTTGGAAGCACACAAGAGAGCAGAAGAATTTCTCACCTCAAGCCAGGAGGCACTCTGACGGGCTAGGGAGACCCTGGAGGGTACACAGAAATGCACTTTGTTCTAACATATAGCTAGGGAATGAACATGGTGACCTGTGCCTGTCCTCCACTCCATTCTCATTCTTTCAGGTTCAATTTGATTTTACATTGTACCTCATATCCCACCACACTTTCACTTACTCCTGCTTTAAATCTTTTAAGGCTGTGTTTTGTGTGCACATGTGATGGGAGCCTAGGAACCTGTGAGAATATCATTCCATTGAAAGGAACATCCTAATATCTGAATTTGTACAAAAAAAAAATCTGCAGTCCCAGGACCAAGGCATTGGGAATGTATCTGTTTATCAGTCATCCAGAGCCCTTGATTGATGTCCTCTTTCCACCTATCACACAACTGGGTGATCTGCATAATAGAAATCTTACGTTCTATAGACTAAACAGGTCAGTGTAGGCCATTTTCTCTTGAGAATAATGTGATACATCCCTCCCGTAAGACTTAAAATAAATAGCTAATCTGATGGAGATTGCAGCTTTATTTAGTCGTTATGAGTAAGGGTGATAATGTATACCCCGCCCTCTCCCTGAAATTGTGTTTGCATTAGCAGCCATGCATAATTCCAAATCCAGTGATTTAGATAATTCTTTCAATGAATTTCACCTTCCAGAGGTTTGCAGTTGATCTTTGTGCCTGACAGCTATTGTGCAACTGCTGCATGAATGTGTTACTTGAGTCTTGCTTTCTTTCTATCTGTTAGAACTGGAAGGGGAGTAGCTGTTAAGCACATTCTCTACTAATAACGCCAACTTTCCTTTCAGCTGCTGGGTTTTAAGCTCTGGCAAATCTTAAATAGACAGCTTTATTCATTTTGCAAATTAAATAAAGAATGCAGGAAACTCTAATTTCCATTTATCAACTGAGCTAGTCTTTCCCAATTAATTTATCTCCCTGTTGCTAAAGTTCTACTCCCAGAATCAGCTAGCATGGTTTTATTTTCAGTGTTTATGTGGATTCCAGCTGTTCTAGCCCCATTTGTCAGTTCAAGAAACCAAACATCAAGTAGCAGAAATTAACTTTAGGGAATATATAATTTTGGGGGTATTTGGATTTCTTTGAAATATGGGTAGTCAGAATGTAAGTGTTACATTTATTTAATAGCTTCTCATAGTTGAAAAGCTGCTGACTTAATTTGGATCATGGAAATCACAGAAGGGGGAGCCTTCACTCTCCTTTGGTTAAAGATCCTGTGCTGTAGCTTTAGAAAAATTGTTTCTAGTAAGTATCTTGCCACTCCCCCGTGAGGTTTTATCCATTTATTGCTCATTTAGGGGCCCCATTTTTGGAAAACAGTGGAATACCAGAAAAATGATTTTGAATTGGACTGTGAGGCTTTTTTCATGTTATTGTTTAAATCTCTGTGCGTTGTAATTTTGTCTAGTTACTTATACCATTCTGTTTCCATTGTACCTTTAATGGCTTGATTGAAGTTTCTTTGTAGCATATTTCATTTCAATATTCACAGATTTTACCTCTTCAGAGATTATCTTTTAACTCTTAAAAAACTGAAATTAAAAAAGTGGACGTTTGCCAATTTTCCATACTGATACTCGAGCCACAGGCTGAGTAACTATATCATGCTCTTCTTTTTTTTTTAACTATGAATTATTGAATAAATCACAGTGCCTAGGCTTACCCATAATGCAAGCCAAACAAATTTCAGTCTGATACATTCCTCTTCAGTATTTTTCTCTGTGGAATTCTTCATTTTTCCACAATTTTTGTCTCCCTACTAACAGTCCATCAGCATTTTGTGATCATGAAGCATGCTCAACCTTCACTAGCCTATTTCTGGAATTCGCACAAGCTTTTTTCTTCCCCAGGACATTATTACTTTGGTAACCTTTATTTTGCGAATGGTAGTATTTTAACTACATGAGGACAGGCACTTAGAATTGAAACTGACGTTAGAATATATGATGCTAACCTCCACTGTCTACTGTCAAAATACCCTCAATATCTGTTGTTCAAGATGCTCTGTCTGGCTGTAGTTTCTCATACTAATAAGGACATCTTTTAATCCTCTTGCAAAGTACCAGTTGAAGCATATGTGGAAGGAAGTTAAACAGGAACTTATAATTGATTTGCAAGATGTTCCTTGATTCAGTGACACAATCAAACAAAAATGATGCTTCACTGAGTAGCTTGCACATTCAGCCACTGGTTTTTCAAAGTGTGATTTAGCTGTGGAAGGAACAAAAGAAAATTTGGAGCTCCTTAACACCAACATGTGGTTGTCTGCTTATCTGTTTCCCCTCAAGGTTGGGCTCTGTAAATGAGAAGGACCATAGGAAAGTATCCTTCATTACGCACATGTATGCTACACAGCACTTCTATGCCTGTTACAGTTTTGCATAGGTGAAGCAGGGCTGTAATTGAGCATCATACGCTGTACACTTAGATGTAAATATAGGCTTTGTCTAATCTTTCTTTGGGATCAGGGAACTTGTGTTTGGGACCTAATATTAAAATTTAGTTTGCTGCCAGTTCATTTGAGTGTCCTATATATCTAACTATCGGAGAAGCTATATGTAAAGAGGTAAAAAAAAAAATCACACTTCAAGCCAAATGAGCACCTCAGCTACACAACTTCCAGTTATGCTCTACCTTAATCTAGCTCTACTTAAACCCCCTGCGTTTGTCCCTATTTCAGCTTTTTCCTTCCCTTACTATTACATGGATAGGGATGGAGCTGCCTCTTTTGTATCTTATACAGCCCTTCTCAAGAGGGTGGGAAGCAACTAAATGATACATTCACTTCCTGGACACAAGTATTAAGCTGCTTTACAATTCATTATGTACATATGGTGTACTTTATTTTCAGTAGAGTATTACATAGTACGACAGTGTTGGATTTTGTACAGATGTCCCTGTATGTACAGAACTAAATAAAATGGATCTCTTGAAAAGATGATACACTGGACTGCACCTCATGGCCACATTTAGCTCTTTAGCCCATGTGTCACAATAGGTAGTGGGGAAGAGGAGAAAAAAACAGACTAAACACATATCCAAAACACTTTTTTCTTTTTCTGAGGATTAATAAAACAGCCTCACGGTCACCACAACTAAGCATTTATAACTAAGTACTGTAGACAACTGGTGAATTATTTGCAGTTTATCAGATGAATTGATAGGTTCAGTGCTGGAGAAAGATGAGATAACTATTTAATCACTTTAAAGAAAGATAGTTTAAAGTAGATTAGCTCCAGCTTAGCTGTTTTCTTTGTAGGCAAGAAGCTCACTGGGACTCTTTATTTCCATTCTGGCTTAAAGCCATTTTGACTTTGTCTGTCTTGCAGTGTTCGTTGAACCATAGCCTGCCATTGCTCATCCGATATCTCATTGGCCCATGCAGGAATGCTCAGCATAGGGAGCTTGACTCCAGCCATGGTCCTTTTCACTAATTCCACATGTTCTACAATCAAAAAAAGGTGCAAAGAGTGAGAAATAATCCCCATCCTGGAGACTGTTCATGTAGTTTCAATCTAAATGGATAAAGGAGTAACTCACCCACACTGTCAAGCAAAATTTTTCATACATATTTTACTATACACCAAACATATATGGTTCAAAAAAGCCATGCACCATCCTGAATGGAATGTTCTTCAGTTTAAAGTTCTGTCATTCAACATAAACTAGTATGAAAAACTTGGAGGGCCAGTGATCTTACAAAAGGAGATGATCAAAATAGCTACATAACATACACAACCTGCCTGTGTTTCCCCAAAATAAGACCGGGTCTAATATTAATTTTTGCTCCAAAAGACGCATTAGGTTTTTTTCAGGTGTTCTTATTTTTTTCCATGTACAAAGACATGTCAAGCAAGGCCCATGGGCCGGATGGGCCCATATCTGGCCTGTGGGGCTGTCCCAGAGATAGCGAGGGACTGGCCTCACTGCCCTGGCCTAGCTGGGTGTCCCTCCAGCATGTGCAAAGGAAGTAGCGAGCACATGGTGGCTGATGGTGGCTGGCACACTCTGGGGCTATGCAACCTGCGCAGCACAGGTGAGTCTGAATGCTGCAACTTCCGAGCTGACCATCCAAGCAGGCAGAGGTGCGGGGGGCGGGGGGGAGGCATGCGATCCGACACTGCACAGCCGCCTGCCCACTCCATCTGTTTTTGCTTGTCCATGGCTGCAATGGGGCAGGTGGCCACATCATGCATCTGACAGGCCGGATCTTGTGCCTCCTCCCATGCCTCTGCTGCCGGTGCCACTGATGCGAGGCAGGTGGGGTGGGGGTGGCACCCCACCTTGGCCCATGCGCTCCACCCTACCGTCCAATCTCTTTTTCCAGCTCTGCCACCCACACGGGATGAGCCTCCTGCTGCCCTACCTGCGACAGCCCTGGCAGATGAGAAGAGTGGAGAGCCCACATCCCCAGGAGGCATCTGGGACTCCCCTCCCTGCTCCGCCCTGGCCCTCACAGGCACCTACCAACACAAGCAACACTGAGCTGGCCTCCCCACCCCACTGAGGGCAAACACAATGCTGACGATCTTAACTGGGGCTCATTTTTGTGGTAGGGCTTATATTAAGATCCTGGAAAAATGCTAGGGGTTTCTGGTTTGGTTTTATTTTGGGGGAAACGGTATTTACATACTGTTCTGAAAAATGTTTATTCTGCTAGTTACAATAATCAGGCAATTGCCAAAGAATAATTTGAACAGCTGGAGATGAAGTGGCATAATAGTAGGATACAAGACTATTTGCTTATGTTAAACCTCGTTAAAGTTGGATTAGGATGATATACAAACCTATTATATGCCTGATTAAAGGCAAGGAAAAGGAATTCTTATCCTGCTAAAGGCTATGGCTTCCATAGGCCAGTAGTTTTATTTCCAAATCAAACAATAATAGATGGCAAGCCACTACAAAATTAGATGTGATAATATACACTGCATAGTGGCTTCACATATATCAATAAGGCATAGTTTATTACTGGACAACTACCGTGTTTCTTTTGACCCCCGAAAAAAAAGGCCGTCTTTTCGGGGTAACTTAATTACTACCCCCGCGTGCACCCTTGCCTAGAGTGCCCTCCGGGCAGACATGCCTCGCCACCAGCCGCTCCTAATGGCCGATCGTGGTGGAGCGCGGAAGGCTCCCTACCCACAAATGCCTTTGCTGCAGACCCAGGTATGGTGCTGGCTGCAAGCCGGGTCAGCAGATGCGCGGCAGTGGCATGGATGTCAGCCTCGGTGGCAGCGGGGCACTTTGTGCCGCTGCTGCTTTCTCTGCCGCCGCCGCTTTTCCTTCTGCCATCACCGTGGCCTATGCTGTGTTCGGACTGCAGCCATTGGGCAAGACGCAGAGGCCGGAATCTGTGATGGACATCATGGCGTGGCGGTTGCAGAGAAGTGGCCCTTCCAGTGGGTGGAGGAACGGTTTGAGCGCATTCCTCTGCCAGCAGTGTTTCAGCCGCTTCTCAGGCAGAGGAGCCGCCTCCGTAGCTTCCATGGTTCCTACCAGCGGTGGTGCATTTCTCACTAGCGCCGTCTCCAACAACAGTGGCCGCAGCAGCAGGACAGATCCCGTTGCCGATGAGAACCACCTGCCCTCCCGCAGGGGCATCGCTTTGCTTGACGGCGGCTGCGTCAACGTCCTACAAGTCGGTGAGTCATTTGGGCTTTGGTTGGTGGAAGCAGCGGTGGGAGCGTGATGCCATCGTTTCTCTTCCCCCCCACACACACACATCTCGATTCGCTTCCTGTGCCAGAGCTTCGGGTCACGGTCTCGTCCCCTGTACGGTCGGGTGCTCTCCTCTTGCTCCAGCTGCCCAAAAACCCCCTGTGGACCTTTTCCCCCTCTTTAAGTTTTCTTTACTCTCATTCCCTCCCTCATTTCCCTAAGAATACAGACTGGCCGGGCAGCTTCCTCCCCACCCCACCCCACCCCGGTAGTTTTAAAAAGGGAAACATCTATCCATTTTGCCCTTTGAGCAGAGGCAAACCTTCCAATCAAAACATAAGAGAAAGGGAATCATCCTACAGACCCTTAGCACCAAGCTTCCCAGAGAATTCTCCCAAAGGATTCACCCCAAAGGAGGATTTACCCCCTTAAATGCACTCCCCACCTTCATCTGGTGGGGAGGGCAGAAATAGGATGGAAATCCACCTCCTGGATTTCTTCTGGCAAATCCCAAAGACACTCTTCCCTCTCTCCCTCCTTCTTTCCCTGTCAAGCTTCTGAGAGGATTCTCCCAAAGGATTCAACCCAAAGTGCTCCGCTGAGGCTGACATCCACGCCGCCGCAACGTGCCTGCTGACCCGGCCTATAGCTAGCACCATACCCAGGTCTGCAGCAAAGGCGCCTGGTGGGGATAGGGAGCCCTCCACGCTCCGCCATGATTGGCTGTTAGGAGCGGTTGGTGGTGAGGTGTGGCTGCCCGTGGGCCGCTCCTAACGGCAAGTTCCCCCCAACCCTTCCCCCACATTTCATATGTTTTAAATAGGCCTACATTTGGGGGGAGGGGCTTAATTTCACCTCATGCCTAGAAAACATGCTGGGCCTTACTATTGGGGGCAGCATTGTGGGAGAAACATGGTCCAATTAACTATATTAACATACAATCCTACAAAGCACATGCAGAGTTCTTAGACCATCCTAAGCTAAAACCACACTATAGCTTAACGTGGAATATAAATCTATACACAAACATACCAATACTGTAGGATTAAGAAAGAAGAAATCAGTTTTATACATGGACTAGTTCTAGATTGATAAAATCTAAATTCAATCCAGAGAATTGAAGAGACAGATAGAGTAATAATCTTGGCTGGAGAGGAAAAAGTGCTAGATGACACTGAAGAAGTAAGGACTGCAGCTTTTTATATGTATAGAGATGAAATAGTATAATGTGTCACATCTGCATTAAAAGTCTAAAATAAAGTTAGAAATATCATTATACAATCTTATCAGGGCACAAAGTTGGAAGTTTTGTTATATTACCTGGATCCATGGGGATTGAGCTGTGACTGCTTTGAGCTACAAGTCTCTCATCATCCTCATTATCGCTTTCGATGGGTGGGTCAGGCAGATGTAGTCTCATTGCCTGCATATGATACACAGGGCCATTAAAATTAATCAAAATGTAAAGATACATGCATTAATTTTCTCCTGGTAGCATTACTTCCCATATAGGGTTTTTGAAACAAAACTGCCACCTGAAGTCGTTGATTGATGTCAAGAGCTGGTTCTGTGCTAGTTGCTGTTAATTCATGTGTTGTTGATCCCTGATCTGGTTCTTGGTTCAGTGGCTGGTATACATAGCCATTATTGATACCCTCTTCCTCCTCCTCCTCTGGTTCTTCACTACTCCATTCGCTAATAGGATCAAGAGTTCCATCAGATGGTTCTTGAAGCCCCAGGTCCTCGTGCTCATTTGGACAGATCCTCTCTGGACCCATTCTCTGTAGAACTACTGTCTCTAAGGCCATGCAACTGGATCTGTACAGAAAAAATAAACTTGATCTCAGCACCTGGCATCACAAAAGTAGTGAACGTAAAGAAAATTGGGAGAGTGTAGAGAACCAAGACATGTCAAATTTTATAGCAGCAGATTCCATTCTAAATTAACACACATAATTATGCTTAAGTATTACATGGTATATTAGGTATTTAGCGTTTTCAGAAACTCTGCTTCTGTCACTAGTGAAACTTTTATTTTGTTACCTATGACAATTTTACATATGCAATGCTATAATATTTAACCATTATTTATTTAATAAACTACTACAGGCAAGGTTCACGTATGCCAATGCAAAACCAAATAAACCACAGCACATGATTGCATCTAATAAAATCAATAGTCCTGCCAAATCTGTGATACTATTCTAAGCAAACTCTTGATCAGAGTATCAGTCAGAAGTTAGTTTTCAGTCAAAGTCATGTAATCATTACAGATAATTTGTTAATATTTCAAATTTTAATTTATGAGAAAATAAGTAGACATGAATAAGAACAGAATAAAACCTGTCCCATTTACTATGGTAATTACAGTGGAACCTATGTCAAAATCTCTCAATATATTTTATTTTCCTATTCCATGTTAGAAAATAGGTGCAACTCATCCTCTCAAAAAATGGTGAAAACCCCAAATAAAAGACACTGATCTGCATAATATTTTTAGAGCCTCAGCAGTAGACAGCAAAGCCAAAACAATTTTAAAATACATCTATATAAAATTATTGCATAAAATTTCCTGCAAATTCAAAGTAGCAAATTTCCTAGTTACCATATAATTAGAAAATAGACTCTGTTCAATATTTTAATGTGCTAGAAGACATCATTAACTTTTCAGTTACATTAATACTTCTTCCCTTATACATGTTCCCAGAAGCCTTGTTTAGCCGACAAGGGTAGAACTAGACTAAAGCCTATTTCTAGCAGCAAATGGACATCCACAAGCACCATCTTAAAAAAAAAAAAAAACTACTCTCCCCACCCTCAGAATAAAGATGTTAGACCAGCATTTTACAATCAGTCTTCTTTCCCACAACCCAAACCGATGGCAATTATTGCAGCTTATGGAGGTTTCTTTAACTATAGGCAATGTGCAGTTATTTTGGGGGGGATCTCGAATTTAGCTTAACTAATTACTCCGAATTAATTGAGCAAAGAGCGAAAGCCCCGAGTCAAATCTATGGTACACAATTTTATACCTCTCTTTACTAGCTTTTTATCTTAACTGAAGAGTCTAGTCTACCTTTCAGGGTTGCTCTAGATATTAAAACAAGGTCATACATGAGATAATATTTTGATGCTTAAAAATTGCCCTCTATATTCCCATAACTACCATTTCCAACATCGCTTGCTTATCCCATTTTACCATGTACGAACGGGCGACATAAGTATTCCCTTGCACCTGCTAGGAAGAGCTGTCAGCAATCACCAGTCCCACCGCTACAAAAATAGCCTATCCTCACCAAGATCAATTGCGCTCTCTTGCTGTAAGACCGAATTAAAAGATCTTCCACGGCCTCAACCCCCGGAAGCGAGGCACATCCGGCCATTGAGAAAATCGTCATAGCTAAGCGCGGCTGGAGATTCGTAACTATGACGACGCGAGCCAACACTGCCCTCTGAGGAGACTTGACAACGCCGTTCACCATGTCTAGCCGCGCCCTTCTCACGATTATGCCCTTTCTTTTTTCTTTTCTTTTCTATAGCCTGCCAAAATGCTCTGATAGGTGCTTTATGTGTGATCAATTCTGCAGAAAAGAAAAAGAAAATCATCCCCGTAAACGGGGCGAGATAGTCTGTATTAGAAACCCATGGCAAACTATTTCTCGAGATCACATTGAAAAGGTGAATTATTAGCTTCCCTTTTCCCTGATGAAAAACATAAGCCTTGTACTGCAAAACATACTGATTTCTTAAAGGCAGCATAGAGGGGAAGCTTTATGATTCAGCTGCGAGCTTTGGGGGCAGAAGTTGTGCATCAGATCAGATCACAAGATATGGTTGTTGGCTTATGATCATTTCAATAGGCTACATAAATTTCAAAGCATATTTGATTTGGAACACCATTATTGGGTATTATTCCTGTGACAATCTTATTTGTCACAAAAAAGTACAAGTGGTTTATTTTTCAGCTATCTTAAAAGTATATATCTCTCAAAATAGTGACATAGTAAAAACACCTTGATGCAATAGTGACACAACAAAAATAAATTTTAAAAAATCCTAATTAATAAGATCCAGTCCAAATGTTAGTAAAATTAATGCAAAGCTGCTAAAGATCAAATTCTGAGCCCATGCTCAACAATATATGTATAATATTGTTACAGATTTGTCAATAAGGACAAATAACACCCCCCCACACACACACACACACACAATTTGATTCCATTCTTAAAACAAAATTAAACCCGGTTAAAAAGTCAGCTTCTTTTTCATGAGTTCTTAACCATTATATTTGTACAACACATCCACTCCACAGCTTAATTTTGTGTAACTTATCCATATTGAAAGCCTAAAGTATAAATGTATACAATCATGGTGTATAAATGGGAAGGAATATTACAAGTAATATAATCCAAAACCCTACATAGGAATCTATTAAAACTTCTTGGACAAAACAGTTGGCTGTCGCCTCCTCCTTTTTAAAAATATCAAGTCCAACAGTTGTTTCAGCCTTAATTGTTCTTTTGCTCAACAATTTCATTGGTGGTTAAAGATCATCTTCATTCAATTATGACAGTGAGAGAGCGATAAATTGGTGGATTTCCCATATTTCCAAAGCGCACATCTGAGGAGAGAAACAGCTCCCCCATACATGCGCTTGAAACCTTTTCTCGCGCAACCTTACACTTCAAACGACGCGCAAAAATGGAACACTACATTTCCCAAGCTGCCTTAGTGAGTGGGACAACCCCCGCGCTTACGCGCCGATGCTGAGCACAGGCTGGGCCTGGATGAGGGAGAGGGAAAGAGAGAGATTGAGTCGCCTGAGGAGAAAACTGGACTTAGCCGGGTCGTTAGAGCGGGTATGACCCTTCGGGGCCGCAGGTCGGCCCCGCTTCCCTCTCTCCTGGGCAGGTAATGAGCGAGAATGAGTTCCTTCCGAGCCGCTGCCGAGAAGGACGCGGGATCCACCAGGGTTCTGCCGCGGGGCAGGTGGGCAAGATGCGCGTTGTGGGGCGCTGGGCTATGGAGGTGCAATCAAGAGATCGTAGCTCCGTTCGGAGGGATGTGAGGACGGCCGAATCCTCGCGGCCGTCAGGTACTGGGGATGGCGGTGGAGGCCCGCCTCCGGGGAAAAAAAGAATAATACGCATGCCGATATAAAAGGGAGACCAGACCACTGAGGGGTGTGACAGGACGGGCACCTTTTGTGAGTCTTAAAGGAGGCATCTTGGCCTTGTTTCCCCCCCCCCCCCCCGTCCCTTCCAGGTAGCCCGAACTGGAGCTCCCAGCGTGTGCCCTCGAGGGTCACATGTCCTGACTGAGGTGGAGTATCAAACATCCCCTCAAAAATCAAAGGTATGAAGTCGGAACGTCGGAATTATTTTACGAAATAGAATAACTCTAGGAAATACTTCATGCAAACAAACACGAATACCCGAATAAAATAATAATAAAAGAAATCACGATTTGCTGGCCAGTGATGTCAGCAATAGGAGATGCCTGTTGTGGGGGAAATCTGTTGAGTGGAATCAATCAAGTTGATATACAGAGATATAAGGCCAGGTGTTTTTATGTTATTTTATTACAACAATCCCATAGATTTACAGTAGAAAATGTTTTTTTTTTTTTGGCACCTAACATTCCCAAACTGCTGCCGCCTCTTGATTTATGGGAAATGTTTTCTTTGTTTTATATTTTTTCCTTTTATTCCTCTGTTGGTTTCCCAAGGAGGACAGGCATAGGAAGTAACCTGAACTCCATTACCTATATTAGAAACTTGAGCTCCTTTATCTATGTGAATATGTAAACTTATGTTATTTATTACTTATGCATTAGTCTCTCCTTCCCTTCTAAGAGATATAATTATGAGAAAATCTTTTTTTATGTGATAGCATATGTTTAAAATGTTTTGTACATTCTCAGACCTGTTGTCTGCAAACTTTGATTTTTAAATATTATTATTATTTTTCTGAAATTTGGGAAGGGGCTACAATGATAAAGCAATATATATGTAATGTCCATATAATTGCAAATACAGTTGAGCAAATATAAAAATTGGTTCACAATTTGCAGTTTAAGAAAAACCAAATGATGCATATGTGAATTATAGTTACATTTCTAGCTGATGTCAAGTAACATATCTAATATGAATATTTGCACTTCTTAATTTTTTATTTAAATCAAAGCATAAATTAATTTCCATTTCCTATAAAAAAAAAACAAAATCCAAGAACAGTATTTCGGATATCTTTGTTTTGCTGAAAGTAGAATTCCTTGAAAGACATTCTTCTAGAAAATATATTACTTTCATTAATTTCTCCTGAGATTTCTTCTGTCCCTTCTAATCTGCTGTGGAGCTAATAATAACAATATATTTTTATGTCATGCTGTGTAGTAGTTTGATTCTAACTGGAACTTTTGATTATAGTATATTTGTATCTGGTTTTCTGTGCCGTCTGTTCTTATTGTGAGCTTTTATGATACATTGTTAAGGAAAACTGCAATATAGTTGAAGTGCCGAGCTATTCATCAGATCAGAGTGCTTTGCTGATTTTGAATGAGAATTTGGGACAAAAAGGACTCTTAAAATAAAAGTAATGTTTCTTTAATAAGAAACCATATATATGTGTGTGTATACATTCACATCCACGCACATTTCCATTAAGAATTGTTCAAAGTAATCAAGAATTTTTCATTAAGAAATTTCAGTATAGAAATATAGTATCAGTTGACATTAATATTTTATTGTGCTTTTTAAAATCTAAATGAAATATTAATATATATTGCAAGTCTGTGTATGATATGCCACCTGCAAAATTAATAAATCAGTTGACTGTACATGTCTAATATACAAGTAGTTCTCATTTAATAATCATTCATTTCAACAACTGTTTCAATTTGTGACTCTGAGCAAAAGAGACTTACGACTGGTCCTTATAGTTGCAGCCACTGCAGGGTTCCCACAGTCATGTGACCTTGATTCAGGTGCTTAGCAACTGGCTTACAATCACAACATTCCAACATTCTGCAGTCACATGGTCACCATTTGTAACCTTCATTGCCAGCTTCTCAGAAGTCAAGGTAATGGGGAAACTGACAGGGCATTGCAAATGGTGACCCTAGGATGCCACAATCATGTGGAATTCACCTAATCTAAGAATGCTTGAACTGCTTTTTCCAATGATGTCGCTTAGCGATGGAGTTCCCTATCTCAGTTATCATTGGTAAGCAAAGACTGCCTGTAATAATGTACAGCAATCTCTGAAATATTGGGAATATTAATGCTGCTTTCTATTAAAGGTTACATGGGTCTCAGAAATATTGATTTTTGATCTATAGTATAAGAGTCAGTTCTACCTATTGAAGAAAAATAAGGTTTAGTAATTTGAGACATCAGCATGTTGCCCCTGACTAAATTATAAGATTATGATATTTTGAAAATAACTATATTAAAAAAAATATGCCAGAAGGAATAATGGTAGATAATTTGTACTTTGTGTACATACGGGCAGCATAATCTACAGCTGTATCTTAAAGTTTTGCAACCTATCGCCTGGTTAAGCAAGATCATGATTATATTGGTAGGACCAGAGTGAAGTTGGGAGCTATTTTATGAGGTGAGGCAATGGCTAATTGGATTTAAACAAGTGCTTCTTTCTGTGTTTGTCTCATTCTGATGACAGAATGGCCATATAACAAAAGATAAGAGGCCAAGAAGGGATAAACCTATAGTCCAAGGCACATGTTAGTATTATTTAAGAAAATAAATATTTGACTTGCAGTTATTAGTATTATATTTTTATCTGTCTTTTAAAAACATATTTGGTCAGTTCATGATGGCAAACCTCTAAAAAATCGTGCGTGTTTTCCTTGAAAAAATAATCCTGTGAGGTTCATTAGGATCAGAGAGACTGACTGGTCCAAAGTCACCCAACTAGCTTTCATGCCTGAGGCTTAATATTCATCTGGTTTCTAGACTAGTACCTTAACTAATACATCAAACTGACTCTTCTTATTGGAAGCTAGAATAACTTTATGAGATAAGAAGTGGCTGGATAGATTTCGTGAAGGCAGCCTGTGAGCATAGCTTGCTGTAAACCTTTTGTTGTTGCTGTTAATTCAGCTTATATAAATTGTAGTGTGTGCACTTTCCTTTCCTTTGCCTTTCTTCATCTGGCATTCTTACTGGGCTTTGACAGTTTCTATTTCTTTATGGTATGTCATTTTAATGACATTTCACTAAAGGGAGACATTAAATCAGAAAAGAGGATTCAACACCTGAGATCTGTTGTCATAAAATCTGTCACTTTTCAACCAGTGGCAAAAGAAAAATAGAGGTATTTGCAAGGATAGAGCATCAGTAGTTAGAGATGCCACATGAC